TTTTTTTTTTTCCATTACATGAGAGTTAAAGTGGACAGGGAGGGGGGAGAAAGGAGGGACTACATTGCAGCCAATAAAGAAATCTCCAAATCCGTTCTGCCCTCCTCCCATAAATTATTACCACTTCCTCCCCCTCCCAGCTTGGTACAAGGTGTTTGCCAAACACTAGCCAGAAATATAAACAAGTCTTCTCAGAATAGAAGGCACGGCATAAAGTTATTCGAAAGAGGAAGAAGAAAAAAAATAAAAATAAAAAAAACTAGAACCTCTGTTGAAAGCTCCAATCATCTCAGATTTTGCCAGTTAATATATATATTTTTATATATATATATGTATATAAAAATTCTGTTACAACGCTCTTGTCGTTATTTCCACATCTCTTCACTCCCCTCACACGCTCCGTGCATGACAATTCAGTCCTGCCTCACTACACAATCCTCGCTCTGCTCCGGGCTCCCACTATGTTCCCCCCACCCCTCTATCCCCCACCCCACATGCACACACATGGGAAAGAATCAAGTGTGCAAGAGAAACGCCAACATCACAAATACTTTCTTTACTTCGGAAGCTGGAATGATTTCAGGCCAGCTGCATGACATTAAGTCAGTCAACAGGCAGCAGAGAATGAGTGCTCGGCTCAGACATGCTTCTACCAACTCTGGAGGCTACAAGAGTTTTACCTCTGGCAACAGCAAACAGTGTTTTTGGCAGGGGTGGCATTAAAAAAAAGCTTGTGGCTTAGTCACCTTGGCTGAATCAGTGCAGAGTTTGTGATTGTGAGTGCAGGCGTGGTGAAGGGGTTGCGTTTAAGCCCAACTGGCCTTCACACGTAACAAAGCTTCCTACCAGATGCTAACAACAACAGCAGCAGCATGTATCTCTCTCTGGAGTACCCAGTAATATGCCAGGACATACCAAGGCTTCACAAAGTGTGCAAAATGCATTTGGTCAATATAAACATTTGATTAAAAAAAAATAAATGATCAAACAAGAAACAATAAAATACTGGTTTTGCAACCTCGTCTGTACAAACAGTCAGGAACTTACATATTTAAAAAGAGTTTGAACCCAAAGCTCGAGTAAGATTTCTCTTTTCTTTTTTTAAAATCAAAAAAAGGTAAACTTGGGTTTTAAAACAGTCTTGGGCCAACACCTTTTGTTCAAGGTTTCCAAGTGCATAAATCTCCTCACTTTCCACAGCAAGCTAACCCCTGGTAGCTCTTCACATGTGTGCGTACTCTGACAGTCCCAATGCACCTAGGAAAGCGGTTATTGCCGGTAACAGCTGCGTTCAGAACGCTGTAACATCGCCCGTATTAAATAACCCCCTGTAAAAAGACTACCTCTCCGCTTTGATCAGAATCAGGATACTAATGAATGGCATTAGCCTTCTTAAAGCAGCAATCAGACACCTCTGCTCAGAGAAGCTAGTTCTTTCAGAGCTGCCTGGCAAGACAGATATTTTTGTAATAGTTGAAATGCTCAAGAGAAGCGATTCGATGCTCGAGTTCCCGACCAAGCTAAATCCCCTTCATGTGGACTCCAGCGTGTTCAGCTGAAACAGGTTGTGGTTGGTGGGGGTGGTGAAGTACAGCTGTTCACTGGGGGAGCGGTTGTCACACGGGCTGTTGAGTCCCAGAGTCCTCTCAAAGTCCAGTAGCTGGCCCATGAAGTTAAAGTTTGGGGAGATGTTGGATTTTTTCCTTTTCACAAAGTCATAGGCGTCATTCAGGGACAAGTTGAGTTTTTGCATCAAGTAGGCGACAGTTACTGTTACAGACCGGCTGATGCCAGCGAGGCAGTGAACAAGGATCCCACACTTCTTGGAGCGGGCCTCATCTGAAAGAAGACAAGGGGAAGGGGGAGTCTATTATTCCGTACCAAAAACGCATGGCTTTGGAGCAGGGCCAGGTGGCAGCTGCAAGTTTATAGCACCAGGACGACTGCCAGAGCTGGATCCACTGCTCCCAGTGACACCATCTCCTGTCCTTTGACATCACGTCCCTCCCCAGAGGGGTCCCAAGAGAGTCCACTGTGCCAGTGAAGCTGTGCATCCCCATCCTGCATAGAAAGGCCAAGCACCTCACGCTTCACACACTTGAAAAGTATTAATCAAGCTTGGCAACGCATCCCTGCCTAGGAAGCGCTGTTACTCTAGCCACAGACAAGGGCTCACTCGCAAAAGGCAGGCAGAGCTGGAGACAACAGCTCTATGGAGATCGTGGTGGCTGGCCGGCCTCATCACACCCACCTCAATGCTAATTGACCAGGGACGGCTGCACGCTCAACATGAGGGTACAACCCAGCAACACGCAGGCTCTTCTCCTTCGCTTTTCCTATTTTTCTTCCCCCACTAAAAACTTATCTGGCTCTAGTGGTACCCAATTTAAGCAGAGCCTGAAGTACAGGAACTTCCCTTACTGTGGAATTGTTCTTAGACTCTAAAGAAACACACTTCACTACAAACAAACATTTGTGTTGAAGGGGAATCTCAAGATGAATGGTAGCAGAGAAGAGGAATGTAGGCTGTACCCAAAAAAAAAGAAAACACAAGAGAACAACTATGAAATTTCCCCTCCCTTGCCACTGATTGAAAAGCACACACATATTCATTGTCTTTCTCACAGCCGGAACAGCGTGATCCCTTATGAATTGACATCTTAGTGTTGAAAGAGGGACACACTGCTGAGAGCACTGAACACATACAAGCACACAGTGCTGCTTACGTCTGGGGCATTTCAAGTCAGTCACTTGGCTGAGAGCTTGTTGTGGAGGGAGAAGGTGGTAGGAGAAAGAAGAACCTCAGGCAGAGGCAGAGCTAAGAGATGCTGGCACCACGAACGTGGGGAAGGGCAGAGAAGGTACAGGCAAAAGGAAAAGAAATTCAGACCCAAGCCACAACAGGTTTTCTGTCCCAGCCTCCAATCCCAGGCAAGAATTTCCAGTACAATGGACAATTACCCTTCAGCTTACACAGCCCTCCCCCTAGTCTCTCCCCGTTCAACATTTTTTCTGAGATATTTTTGTCTTTCATCTGAGCTATGCCACATTTTTTGGTGTTTGGTTTTAGAGTGAGGTAATCCTCCATTTCCTGCCATTAAATGGAAAGCACAAGCACGGTGTTCACAGAGACATTGTCTGACCGGAGCAGACAGATCCTAAATGCCACATGCCAGCAGGGACCCCATACCTCAACCCGTGACGTTTAATAACGACCCTCTGTTCTGCAAGCGCAGGCAGGACGTTAGACGGGTCCCTGCTGCCACACTAAAGCAGAAGCTTCTGACAAGAATCGTATTATTAGAGGACAGAAGAGGGGAGAACTAAGAGAACGTGTGGGAACCGAGTTCTCTGAGGGCTGAAAAGCAGACAAGGACCATTTCAGGCCTTTAAAAAAAAAAAGCAAGCGAGTGAACGCGGCAGGGCATGAAACCATAGGCAGCAAAAAGAAGCCTCAAAAATCTGTTGCAGATTCAGTCTGAAGGCAAAGGGTCCATTCCCTTTACCTAGGTCAATGCCTTTTTAGCCAGATACAAAGCCACAGGGCTTGTAATAGTTAGAGTGGTAATAACTACCTGTGCCACTCACCCCCCATAAATCAGAATTGATTAGGCTAATGACGATCACCAGCAGACAGCACAGGTCATGCTGGCAGTGACCACTTTTATCCAGCCTGATAGACATTTCTCACAGAATAAGCAGCAATTTTCAAAGTTAATGCTAGCTTGGGAAAAGAGATCTGCCCCCCCACCCTGCACCCCCCCAAATCATTCAAAACTGTCTCAAGGGTTGTCTGCACAGCAATTTTTCCAGCTTAGCTCTACAGTATAATTATAATCACTAACTCATTGTGTTGACACTTACCTTAGGAGAAGCATCCATACAAGGAGTTAGCTACGCTAGGGTGACTTACAGCGGGATCATAACTAGACTAGCGAATTCCCTCAGGAAAAGAAACCCCCCCAGACTTCACCACAGTTGGGGCTAGGGACCTGCTGGCACCAGTCACATTAACGCAACTCCCACCAACACTCATTTCTCCGAGTAAAGCAGGCATCCAGAGTTCTCCGCTGCCTTGGTTCGGCTGTATTCGCACAAGTGAAAACCCCCATAAAAGGGCAAGATACAGTGGGGCCGGGGTCCAGCTTGCCACAATCACCATTTTCAGGTAACTAGACTGAGAGGCTGTAGAAGGGGCCAGATTTTGACCGGGGAGGATTCCGGCCAGGCTCTCTGGGTGAGCCGGGTGGATGTGCACCAAAGCTGTCGCCTCAGAAGCGTGACACTGGGCTTCGGGGCCAGCCCCGAGACTATGCCACAGAGAGGTCAGGCTAGTGACCGGCGACAGCTCTGGGAAGGAGCTTGCTGCATTCCCGAGCAATGAGAATGGAAAGGGATGTTCTGCCAGCTACCTACCAATGAAAGCAATGGCCTCAGGAAAGAACTGCGAGAGGTTCTGACTCCAGTGATCCGAGATGGGGATCTGCTTGTACTTGAACTCTCCGTCGTGCTCAAACATGTTTGGCAGGTTGGGGGTCACATTCAGGATGTACTTAATGCCGTATTTGCCCAGCACGTCCAAGTTGGTAGAATCTTTGGCACAGCCCAGGTATAGGTAAGGTAGGATCTGGACTGGAAAGGCAGGCTGATTGTTGGGAATTGGGCTGCCGTCCGACTCCGTGGCACTGCTGGGTTCCCGGTCGGATTCGCCATCCGAACAGTCAGAGCTTATCCGCAGCCCTCCCAGGCCAAGGACAGATGCAGGTGGAGAGTTGCTGGGTGAGGAGCTGTCAAGGTTCGTCTCACAATGCTCAGAATATTCAGTCTGGAACTTGTTAAAGCCACCTGGGAAGGGGAAAAGGAGAGAAGGAGGGAGAGAGACAGAAAGAAAGATGTTTTACTCTTTTAAAATGGAACTTCTTTTAAAAAAAAAATCCTTCTACCTGACACACGTGCATGATACTTGGTAAGCGTCTGCCAGCAGAGAGCTGGTATACATTCAGCTTCCCAAGAGACACCCCCGTGAAAGGCGTCTCCCCGCTCCCTCTGCTTCCACAGGGCAGATCGCTATTGAGCCAACAGGAGAATAAAGGGAACTTCCTGGGAAGTTTGATACTGCTCGCGATAAGCACGGGCCAAATCCCAGTCGCATCGAAAGAAACAAGCATGCAGAAATAAAAGCAACAGCAAGAGATACTCAGTGTTGCCTCATGCAGGTTCTCAAAGACACAAGGCTGGAACAGTTTAGGCAAGAGTTATTATGCCACATAAGCAAAAAAAAAAAAAAAGGCACAAGATAATCTGCCTCTGAACAGATAAAGCAAGAACAACTAAACACCCAACCCACTAAAACCCCATAAAATAATTCACCTTGAAACAGGGAGGAAGGCCCTAAGTTTTGCCAAAGAGAGCAATTTTTATACCTATTTTATCATTACAAGCACTTTCTGACAGAGCAGCGTCACAGGATCGCTCTTCATCCAAACCATGTCACGCTGCGGAGGGATGGGACCCCCTATGCCTGCTTCCAAGTCCTCTTCTCCAACTCCCCAGCTCAACGGTTGGGGAAGGAAGGGAAGGAAAGCCAAGAAAAAGAAAAAGGAAAAAAAACCCGGCTCTACCCCCTCCGCAGCCGATATCAAACCGGAGTTTAGCCGTCGTTAGCTGACGCTGGCAAATGGTTTAATTAGAAAGGCCCCCCCGGAAACTTTGTTAGTGGGCCTGGTGGCCGCGGCAGGGTCACTGAGCGGGAGCGGGACACACAGCCCCCCCCCCCTCCATTCATGACAAGGAGGCTCGTCCGCCCCGTCCCCGTCCCCCCCCGCGGCCAGACAACGCCGCGGAGCCATTTTGGAATTTTAATTGGAAACATTTCCCACCGAGGCTCCAGGAAAAAGGGGAGAGAGAAGGGCTCAACTCCTCCCCTGCCCACGAGGGAGAGCTTAAGAGCCACTTCAAAGCTGCTCCTTCCTGCTCGGGACCGGGACAACGGGGCGGCAGATGCCAAAAACACAGCGGGCGACCCCCGGGGGGAGGGGGGGGGCGGCCGGCTGCG